CCTGTAAGAAGTTCCCCAGCAACCTCTGATCCAGAATCATATTGGGAACCTGCACAGCAAACTCACTACTGAGTACTGTTTTGTACAAACACGCAAATACAAGTAACAAAAGCGCACATAAAAGATATATATAGAAAGAGAGACAGAGACAGAGCAACCTTGTCTCCGAAGAAAATCTTAGTATTATCAGCAATGGCGTCGATGAATTTAAGCTCAAGAAACTGCGGAGTAAGCTTCAACTTGTTTGCTTCAGCTTCCTTCATGACTTTATAGAAATCAGCATCCGCAAGGCTCATTTCCCGAGCTGTGTACATCTGATTTTCAATCTCCTGCTGCCTCCTGGCACTGTCCTTCTCCGTCAACTTTTGTTCCATGAGAATCTTACTGACATTGGCGTTCTTCTCAGCCTCACTGATAGCCATCTTCTTCTTGGTTTCTGCCTCTTTCTCCACTACTCTCTGTCTCTCTATAGCAATTAAGACCTACAGAGTAGCCCCAACAGTCATGATATAACAAAGAATGCTATAACACTAAAGAAAGGGTAGCCTAAAAATCTTATGACACTTTTTGTTCTAAAGCCTATCCGATGTTTGGGCATCAAGTACTTGGAAGACGGGAAGAGTAATTTGAGTAAAACTGGATATAAAAATCTCAATATTTGGGCAAATTTTGTGACACGAAATTGTAATTCAACAAAATATCTAAAAAGCAGGAAGTAAAAATCAGAATATATAGTTCAAATCATTTAATGTTTGCATCAGAATTACAGATAATACAATGAACTCTTTTTTATCTTTTACCTTGGTGCGCTCCTCCTCCATTTGCTCAAAGTTACGTCTTATACTCTCCGGGATGGTTGGCTTTGTAACACGGACATTGATGATTTCAATGCCTGGAGCATAGCGGGTACAGTCACCTTGAAGGGCTTCTTTCATCTGTTCATCAATCTGAAAGTGTATGTTTTGTTGACAGACGATTGAGACTTTGGATATAACTAAAAAAAGAATTCAAGCCACAAATATAATACAACAAACTAGCTCATTAAAACAATTATTCGAAACAGAAGTGACAACCCTCAGTTTACACTACAAAGAGAAGAAAAAAATGTATGCTACTCATGTATGTATCGGGCAGGATGCATATAGTCTACAGATACTACAGATGAAAAAATGTGAGACTCATTTGCATTCCACGTTACCTGATCGAACACATCAATATACACTTCTTGAAGAGAATGTGAGCTGCAGAACTGATTGATCTCATGATGAATTTTGTCATATATCCATGTATTGTCATATTGCACGCCATAATTGAGAAGCGTCTCGTACACAAATTCCTTACGAAGCCGATTTACGACCTGAAAAATGCATCCTAATTAGTGCATACACATTGGGGATATTAGATATCCGACTTCACGCAAAACTAAAGAATAATATCGCATAGCCTTACCTCAATCTTCTCAAAATTGATCATGACACCCCCTTTTGTACCACATGGAATATCCCTTACCTACAATGTTGCTAACAGAAGCGTTCAAAACTATAATGAATAGAAAGACAGAATCTTCAATCTTCCAAACATGGATTACCAAAGTTACCTGATCAGTCTGCAGGGTCACTTGAACGGGTTCAAAATGGGTGACCAGCGGCAGCTTGAGATGAAAACCTGATATTTGAAATAATGAGAAGCAGGCAAAGTTAAGGCCCTATGCAAGCAACTTCTCAATGCACATCACCTGGATCTGTAATTGTCTTCAGAAGAGCGCCTCCTCTCCAATATACTCCAACATGACCTTCTGGGACTTGGTGCAGAATTGATATAGTTGATGATGTTGGAAGAACCGTCTATAAACATCAAGACGTCCCAGTTTTAAGAATTTAGCATACTAATCGAAGTTCCCCAGCTAGCATATCATAATATTTAGCAAAAATACAATCCAAGTCTATTGCAACTATCATTACAGAGGATTTCCCCATGCTTCATCCATTAACCTGAAAAAATCGTTATGAACACGTGTCTTAAGCCAAATGTTACAACTAACAATCATAATTGTTTGAGGTAGTTGCTTCTACAAGTCAATACCATGAATGAAACAATCTTAGTTTCCACATTAGACAATTGAGGTAGCTGAATACGAAAAATTCCAAGAAAAAACCTTCAATTCAATGCATTATTGGGATATCCCGTAACTCTAATTCTCAATCAACTAATACAAATATTAGACAGAGGATTACTGCACACAATCATGCTTAGCAGACAGATAACCATTAATGACATGACAAAAGAAAGCATTACGAAACTGTAAAAAAAACCGAAATTAATACTTTAACACAAATATATGCATTCAGTGGAAATCAAGAACAGATACATGATACTTGAAATCGAGGAATTACTTAACCATAATAAAACCAAAAAGTGAGACAAATTGATGAACTATTGAGTTGGTACTGCATATTCAAGTGATGGATTAAGCTCGAAGAAAGACCCTAAAAATGGGATGATACAAGCGAATATCGAAGAAATATAAAACAAATTAGCAGTAAAAAAAAAAAAAAAAACCTAGTACTTCTGAGGCGGAGAGCAAAGTATAAAGTGTGAGAGGGGTTACCACGGCGAAAAAAATGGCGAGGAAAGCGAAGAGGACAAAGAGAATGGCCGAGGAGTCGCCGCCTTGACGTGGTGGCTGAGGGTGATTTGGTGGAATTCCTGGTCTCTGCTGGTTTGGATCCATGGCTCTCTCTCGATCGCTGTCTGTGCTCTCACGCTTTCTTTCTCTCTTTGTCTCTGTTTTTGGGCATTTCAAGCATGAATTGAGTCGGTATTGGAAATGTGAATCGACTTGATGAATAATGGCCGTCTGATGAAGCGTGAATACACGTGGAGCATCGTTAAGTGGTCGAGTTGTTTCCGTGAAAATTCGTGTGCAAGTTTGGCGCGATTTCGCCGTGGCAACGGCTTTCTTGCGGTCTCGCCTAACAGGCAAAAAGTAAAAGGACGTTTAATTTTCGTTTAATTTTATAAAAATATTTTTATATTTTAGTTTTTGTAATGTTGCTTTCTAGATAAGCAAAGTGAAGAGAATTACGTTAAGGGGCTTAGAGATTTATCATCATGCCGAGGTCACGTTAAGTACGCCTCACGCCTTCGAATTAATAAAACATACTTATTTCTCAAGTCTGGTCTTGAGGGTAGCCCAAGTAAGCGCCTGCGAAATGGGGGCCTTTAAAATTTTTTTATATCATGTAAATAACATATAAATACAGAAAAAAGTAAGAGATATCATTATTCATTTGTTGGCGCAATGGAAATGTTCAGCTTTCTTTTTCTTTAGGGTCTTGAGTTCAAAATACGAAGATACCTCTTTTAGTTATTAAAATTTTCTTGTTTTTCAAATTTATTGTCAATCCATATGTCCAACTCTCAATCCATCTATCCAAATACATATAAAGTTATAAAACTCAAGTCCCCTTGCAATCTTTTTTTCTTTCAACTTCCCAATCTCTCCATTTCTATCGAATTTTTAAACCAACTATAACATGGGTTTGAAGATTGTACTTTAATGTAATCAAAACTTTGAATATATATTTTGCTTTTCAATAATTTTTTATTCAATGGATTGTTTTAGTATTCGATTCGTTAGTGTGATGTTGATTTTACGGAAAAAAAAACACAAGAAAAACAATTAGCGTAGTTGAATTTATTATACTCATCAATCAAGTTTTATTGTTCTTTACTCCCTTGATCATTAAGTTTTATTGTTCTTCACTCTCAATCTTAGACTCTTGACTACAAATATTTAGTATATTTGCATCTAAAAACATGAGTCGTGTAATGTTTAAGTTATGTTTGTGTATTTATCTTTTTTTATATTAATTTTGAACGATATTGGCTGTGGAAATAGAATTTTTATGTATTTAGCGAATTCTTATATATATATATATATCAATGTACAAAGAACCGGACAGAGAATTTTACAGCCCCATTTTGAAAACTTTTTTAAGGCCCCCAAATTCTCAGGACCAGCCCTATTATTTCTAATAGGTACATAACAAACCACAATTGTTGTCTCATAAAAACAAAGCCTTCGTTGAAACTAAATCAAAGCATTTATTTAATGTTATTTACTTTGGGCTGACGAAAAAACAAATAGAGTTATTGTAGCCCACTCTGAATTAAAATATTAACAATGTCACTGTATGCAATGCTAGTATACGGTTGAACTTTTGATGTTGTAGGTCAGCATTAATTTGAACTTTTATTTCTAAGACACGTTGTCCTTGGTTTTGAGATTGTTTTGATGTTATTTTTAAAAATAATAGTAGCAATGGTCATTTAATTTTAGTTCAATTAGAGTAATAATTTTTCAACTAGAATTATGTGACTATTAGTCCATTCATTTATCAAAATGCGCAATTATAGTCATTTCATCAATTCCGTTAGAACTTTCGTCAAAATAAGACATGGTGGAAAGACCATTGCTACAATTGGGTTAAAGTTGAGGGCTATTGCTATAATTTTTTTCATTTAGTTTTTAATATTTCCCCTTTTGATTCGGTTTGCATGACACGTGAGTTGTTTTCACATAAGTTATTATGAAGTTGACGAAAATGACAACAAATGTATGTTTTGATGAGTTAAGGGACTAATAGTCACATATTTTTAGTTAATGGACCATTAGTCTATTTTTTTTAGTACATCGATATTTTTACACTAAAGGGAGACAGCTAAGCCACATAATGAACAATCTAATTTGGTATCGAATTCGTCATTCACGAGATTTGAATCTAAGATCTCTTACTTCCAAATGAAGAAGAATACCAGTAGGCCGTAATATCGAGTGACATTCTAATTAGATTAAAATTAAAGAACATTGCTACAATTTCCTAAGTCATTTTAATAGGGAAATTTTAATTAATAAATTCTCATCGTAATTTCCAAACGACACGTGAAACGCACCGTATCCACAAGAAGCTCCCGCCACACAAACACAAAAGAGACCACCCAGACCATCCTCTTTCTCGGGATACAGAGTATCGATACTACAGCCAAACAAACCACTGCAAGCGGCGTTCTTCCTCCGCCGGATGTTAAACTCACCCGCAGGTGACACAACATGCTAACTCTTACAGGAGGCTCCACACCCATTGCCGCGAAATGCACAATCCAAATCAAAAGGCGGTTCAGGGTTCGCTCCGCCGCTGCCGGGTTCCCTTCTTTCCTTCCCAAAGAGGTCGAAAAGATAAAAGACCCGTTTGCCCGCAAGCTCGCCGCCCGAATTGAAAGGCTACCCGTAAGCTAACCCTAGCTCTCGTTTCAATCTCCTCAGTTTTCTGTTATCAATGTAGTATTTAATTTAGCCACTTTGTTTTGGGTAATAATGTTTAATTTCCATGGGTTAGGAACTTAGGTCAGTTGTTAAGCAGTGTGGCCGTCCCCTTGCAGGCTTGCACCCAAGTTTCAATCTTACTTCTCGTAGATTCGATTAATTTAAAACTTCGCCTTGTTAAAAATGTAAGCTTTAATATCTATGGATGCCTTGCCAATATCAATGCAGGTGAGTTTTGGAGAGAATAGTGTGATGAGTAGTTGTGTGAAGCCATTGGTGCAGAGCGAGACGAGTCCCGTGGTTCTTCTCCATGGTTTTGACAGGTCTTTTACTAATAACTGCCATTGTTAAAGTAAATTAAATTTTTGTTTTTGATATTTGTGTTTTTTTCTCTTATGAACCTTTGGAGTTCATTGCCTCTTATTATTCAGCTCCTGTTTAGAATGGAGATATACTTATCCATTGCTCGAGGAAGCGGGATTGGAGACTTGGGCTGTGGACATTCTTGGTTGGGGTTTCTCCGATTTAGGTTTGCTCCTTCAATTGCTTGAGACCCGAAAGGGATTTGTTTAATTGCTTTCACGTTTATGTTTTATACCTTTTTAATAAATTTCTTTCCTTTTTTGCAATTTTTGCTTCGCATGTGATAGAAAGACTTCCCTCCTGCAATGTGGTCTCTAAGCGTGAGCATTTTTATCAGGTACATTTTATGATTTCTTACCACATTTTGTCATTGGAGTTAATTTTTGTATGAAGATAATTTTGTGAATTGTTGATCAGACTAGCAATGTTTTGTTTAAATTTCACGACAGCTTTGGAAATCCTACATTAAGAGGCCAATGATATTGGTTGGACCAAGCCTTGGTGCTGCTGTTGCAATCGACTTTGCAGTCAGCCATCCAGAAGCTGTAAGTGCTCTCTCCTTTTTTTATCTTAGAATTATGCAGTGTAGATTCATTTGGAAAGAAATTACAACTGATGCATCGGCCAGGATTGTTAGCGTCTGCAGTGTTCCATGAAAGTTTGAAAATTTCAGCTTACATTTTCAGGTCGAAAGGCTGGTGTTGGTTGATGCAAGTGTGTATACAGAAGGCACGGGAAATCTAGCAACCATGCCTAAAATGTTAGCTTATGCTGGAGTGAGTGTTTAGCTCAACTCACTAATTTCTCAAATTTCTTGTTGTCTACATGTTACTTTCACCATCTTTCTGTTAAGACCATGTGCTCTTCGAGGGTATAATATCTGTGACTCTGTGCTCATTGCAAAAGCCATTTATGATCTTATTTATTTTGGGGCCTCCCTTTTTTATGTGATGTTCAGTTGAACTGTATCCTTGATATCTAATTCAGTCACGATTAAGTCTGACCTAATTAAGCTGCTATTTCCATTGAATTTCTCTGTATTGGTCATGCCCTTGAACTTTATGAACCAGTTGAACCATCCCTATTAAAATCAACCAAATGAGTGCTTATTATCTCATAATCCTTTTGCTTTAGCATATGAATATTTTTCTTGATACATTCTTGTGACTGTTTATATGAGCATGTGCATGTGATGTCATCAGTACAATGATGACAGGCATTTTTCTGGCCCAGGTGTATATACTGAAGAGTCTCCCGCTGCGCATCTATGCAAACTTTTTGAGCTTCAGTGGCATATCACTTGCTACCAGTTTAGATTGGACTAATGTAAGGGGTTCTATTTCGAAACTTACGCAATATTTATATAGATGAATGTTACAGTTAAATATTCCCGTACTTGTAGGATCTTCTAAAGGTGAAGAGATCTTACTCTGGTGTTTCTTGCGATTTATTTAGATTGGCCGCTTGCATTGTCTGTTTCCTTGGTGGGAGGATGCAGCTGTGGATTTCATGATGAGTGGGGGTTATAATGTTAGTGCCCAGATAGAACAGGTACATCTGAATTTGTTTATTTTTTATTTTTTATTTTCCATTAGATTTGAGAAGTTTCTGGAAAACAATCATGCATATAGGAAAGAGGTTCTCTTCTGCCAAGATGAACAGGCGTTCACATGATTAAAAAAGGAAAATGAGAAAGAGATTGTGGTTTAAATTCTTTACTCACATAAGTCCTTAATCTCTTGCCAAGGGGAATAAATGCAATTAATCTTTCGTTAGTTTGAGTCAGCTGGATGTTCGCTCTACTCATAGAATGTCCAAAACCCATGAATTGTTTAATAATGTTATCCACATTTTGTTCAACAGGTAAAGCAAAGGACGCTTATCATATGGGGTGAGGATGACCAGATTATTAGCAGCAAGCTTGGAGTGGTAATACTTTAATTCTTTCTATAGGGATAAATAGAGATCATGACACGAAAACAACTACCATTTATGATCAAAATTACCTTGAAACAATCCGTTCAGGTATTGGAAACGTTGGTAGAACACAATGTTCCTTTTCCTTGTGTTTTTGACCTTTTGAGTATAATCTATACAGTTGATAATCATGTGGTTTGTTATATTGTATGCTGCAGAGACTGCACTGCGAATTGCCAAATGCTATTTTACGACAAATACCAGAATGCGGACACCTTCCTCACGTGGAAAAGCCAAGCTCTGTTGCAAAGTTGATTGTGGAATTTGTTCAACAAGATCAGTACAAAGAAGTCCAATGTATTTCTCAAGTTTGAAGGTTTACTTTCCATCTCCTCTTAAATGATATTCACAATTTCATATCGTGCCATACATATTTTACAAACTGGGGGGAGTTGGCACCTTTTTAGACATAAATTCGGGTTCCCGGGATCTGAGTTGTGTCATCTCTTGACAGTTCAGGTCACTAGTAGGATATAGAAACGACTCCTTTGCAACAAACCCCAGATGCAAACATGGATGTAAAAGCATCCATTTTACTGGCAGTAATTGTAACTTTGTATCAGGATTTATCTTCAATTACTATCTGCTACATATGTAACTAGAAGGAGTTGCGTGTGTATGCCTAGTGGTTAAGAATCGTCTTAAAGTAGCTGAGTGCAATTTGTTGACCTTAGCGTTAGTGACACACATATGTTTATATATGTATGGACGGCCTTCAGATTCCTTTCAGAAGTCAGAACTAACCATCCGGAATCATCCGTGCAAAGTTTTTTCTTAAATTTGTAATTTTGATGTTTTTTTCTTTTATGACTCGTTTGGAAGTGTTTTTAAAATGGACGAAAGCGCTTTTGGTGAAAATATTTCTGAGATCAATTCTTAGTAAAAATACAAGGGAATCCTGAAAAAGCACGGATGCACTTCAAATGTTTTTGGAACCTAAAAACATTTTTTTTTTTTTAATTCTTTCGATTATTTTAAAAGCATTTCCGAATGCGTCATTAATCTTTGATTGTTCATCCTTTTCTGCCGCAATAATTGCATAATAGATTTTAGCGGCGCTAAACAAAGGAGAATTCGGAATTAAGCGTCGAGGAAGAGTACACTGCTCCGGCAACTTGACTTAACCATAAATCCGTAGAATTTAAGTGGTTTTGTGGCTTATATTGTTTGGTGGGTAGTTCAGGAGTCCTCATCTATCAAAGGTCCGACTTCTGTAGCCTGAAAAACATGTTACATACTTTAATTTATTTGGATTGTTTTCCACTATATCGGCCATGCACGTCAAGTTCAATAATTCTAGTCCGTTGGTTTTTTTGTAGTTTTGACAAGCTGGTGGATTCTAACCGTGTTTCCAACAAATCTGCTGTGCTGTGCTGTACTGAATATAATACAACACAATGATTTTACCTCTCATTTTTTCATTTCTGTACACTCTTGCTTATTTCCGACTCATAATTCTTAGGTAACTTATTTAATCTAAAAACGAAAACGAAACATTATCAAACGGGTCCTTGAAATTGACACATTCGATTGCCTCGATGTTGTCTCGTAGTTATGCTACATGAAACGTAAGTTTAAACACAATGTTCAGGCTCCATTAGGATACCTAAATTGATTGTTAACCTCAGTGATAGGGGCTAACGAAAAAATTGTAAATCGCAACAAAATCCGGCATGTAACCGGATTCATTATTTGTATTATTAGTACTTTTCGATAACATGTCACGCAATCAGCGAGGCGCTTTGGTGAAATAATGGTAGGGGTAGAGCGTAGTTCCATTAAATTAAAAAATAGTGGCTCGTATACATGTACAAAAGGGAAGATCTAAAAAGAAAGAGAGGATCAGATTCCTACCCCCAATAAGCACTAGCAGCAGCACCACTCAAAATGGAATCGAATTCCCCAGCTTTTTCACAATGGAGCAAGGAAAGCAAAACACAGAAACCAGAAAAATTAAAAACCCTGATGGGATTTTTATGCCTCTGCAGATGTTTCCCTACACAACCACCCACCAAAATGTCGAAACTTACATGCCTACCCGCCAATTACACCCCCCACCTTCAGCTCTTCACATCAGTAAAACCGCTGTGAAGCACAGAGCCGAAGCTAGAGAGAAGAAGAGGCGGTTTGCGGCTTCCAAGTTAGCCGTGCCGCCACTGTTGTCAATTCCAGTGCCACTCCCCGTGGGGCTTATTCCGAACACTGATGCCGGAGATCCTGGAGTTGTGATGCCGGTGCCGGTGGTTGGAGTTGTGCCGGTGGTTGGGGTGGTGGGTGTGCCGGTTGGTGTGACCGAGGTTGGGGTGGTGGGTGTGCCGTTTGTGGGTGTACCGGTTGGCGTGCCTGTGGTTGGCGTGCCAGTTCCTGCTTGACTGAACAAAACAGAACAAAACAGAACAAAATCATGTCAACATAATGCACTCGAATTTTGAAGTTCATAGGAAAATAAATGTAAATAGAATCGGTTACAAACTTTTAATAAAAAATAAAACACTACGAACGCTAAACCGACGATAAACCAATATAAAAACTACGGTTTACCATCCACTATTGATTTCTTAGTATGCCTCTCGTCTTCCAATTCTAATTAAAAGTTTGTAACCAGTTCGTAGATATCCCCCGAGTTCGAAACCCCTAAAGATTAACCATGGTTTAAATCAATAAGATGAAATGAAGACGAAAGGGGAAACAGAACTTTTAGATATATCTATTTCATGACAGCTCACTGTTTTATGACTTGATACAACAGATCAAGCTAATACAGTATTAACTTAAGGGTGGAGAGGTAGATCTACTTTTCTTAATCACTTTCCAAATAAGCTAATTATGAACCCTAATATCCAAAATTACTTTTGCAGCTGTTGTTGCTTATTCAAGAAACCCTTTTCAAATCCACCATTTAAGAGAAAAATAAATTCTGGGGAAAATTGCATTTAAATATATTGATAAAATGCTCATAAATTTGCAAAGATGTCAGAAATAAAACTCAGCCACCTACCTGGAACTTGCAGGATAAACACATGTCGAACTTGCGGCTGGAAAATCACCAGAAAAATTAAAATCAGTGAATGTTATTATAAATAAATAAAATTTGAAAAAAAAATGGTAAAAATAAAGATTCAGAAGGAATGAACTTACTACTGGGAGCAGTTGGGCTCTGAGTAGCAGCACCTGCAAAATCACAGCTCTGCGCAGTTTGACCCTTCCTCTGGAAATAACTGTTGACAGCATAGCTGCAGTGATCTTTGACGGTGTTGGGCTGGTAACACGCTCCGTTTTGGAGGATTGGATTGCAGTCAGCTCCAGCTCCACAGGCATAGTCCAGTGCCTTCTGAAGTGTTGCATCACCGACTCCATCTTTGCATACGCAATAAGTAGCACCTAAAAATCCCAGAAAAAAAACCCAGAAAATCTGTTACTTCACACTAAAACCATTTTAATTAATTCATGACCTTTTTTCTTCGGGTTTGTGATCGTCCTGCTCCGAGGAGCTAATATCGTCTAATCCTTAATTATCATAAAAAGAAAAAAGAAAAAAAAAACAGAGAACAAAAGAAAGATTGAAACTTTATGATTTGGGTGGAGTTTTTGTTTGATTCGACAAAAGGGATTGCCGTGATTTGTAGTTTTCTCATGTCAGATTGGGAAATTAAGAAAAAATATAACAGAGGATAATAATCAAAGGAGCTTACTTGAGTGGCCAGTGAGGGCCAATAAGATCACAATATACACTAAAGCAGCCATGATTGATGCAGGATTGTAGAGAGAGCGCTGGTTGAGCTAGAGAAGAAACAGAGAGAGTGGCGAGAGAGAGAGAGAGAGAGAGAGAGAGAGCTGTGGCGAAGGGAGATTGGAAATTTCTAGTAGGCAAAGCAATAATATGAGAGGGACGGTGGGTGTGCGTATGTGATATGGTTTTTAAACCTTTTTTTTTTATATATAATTTAGATTTGTTTTTAACATTGTGTGGGGAAATGCTATTCAATTAGTACTGTAATTTACATTTATATTTATATTTATTTGTTTAAAGAGTGTTCTGGGTAGATGAGCATGCAGAAGCTTTTGTCATGTACACGAACTGTTGTGTAAGACCAGACCATCAAAACGGTCTTAAACTGACCTGGGTGATCAAAACTTAACCCCAACAGAATCTTCTCCGGATCATTTTTGTTGAGAATTTTATAAATTTGTAAATCGTGTTTGTTTATCATACGTTGTATGGTTAGTTTTTGTCTTTATGTATAATTTTAAATAAAAATATTTAAAATAATTTCTGATCGTACGATGTACGATAATCAGACACAATTGACAGATTCCTGTGATCCGCGCAAAAAAGATCCTGCAAGGATTCGGATTCAACTTAACTCAACCCGGGCCCGCCTTTAGAGGTTACATGAAGGGATAGAGGGTTCTTTAGCCTTGTGTTGTCACAGTGAGCTAGCACTGGGGAACTTGGTAGTTGGCACTAGTCTATGGGCATGGGGGGCCCCACCATTCGTGCTTCCATGGAGGGATAGATGGTTCTGTGGAGGCAAATTCTCTGTCCTCGCTCGTGGTTCTTTAGCTGTGTGTTGTCATAGTGAAGCTAGCACTGGGGCATGAGGCATCGGCATCTCATATTTTGGCACATTGCATCAGCATCTCTGTTGTGAGAGAGATGGCTATTCACACTGGTGACTTTATTTCTTCTTGGAGTTCAAGATTTCCTATGCTTTGATGACATTTCGAATTAATAACATTACATTGAATGTTTTTCGCTTTACGCATTATATAACGTTATTAGTCTAAGGCACCACAATAACGTTAAAAAACATGTAAATTTCTCTAGCACATACGGTTGAATTCAATTTGCTACTTTAATTTTCCATCTTTGATTCAAAGTTTGTTGAGAAAGTTTTCATCTACAAACCTTAAAAAGTTAGGCATATATTTGTCGTGTTGGATCATCCCATCTCCTAAAGCCAAAATCTTTTCTCTTTTCCTTTCCCATCTAAGCCTTGGCATGCTGAAATTATGACCAATATATGTTAAGTTGTGACAAATGCACATGTCATATTGAAATTTCCATCAAACACATCCCTTTAGAGTTAAAAGTCGAATAGGGGGATTTAGGGTACGCCTAGCGCATAAGGCGACACAAGAATAATAGTCGGAACACATTAAGGTTCAAAGCAAGGATGACAATTTATGGTGTGTGTGTTGCGTTATGCCGTAGGCGACACAATTAAGATTTTCTCAATATTTATTCTTGGGAAGAATATGAACGGTAATTGTTTACTTATAACTTATAAGTTGATGACTTTTACTCGTTGATTTACATGTAGTTCAAATATCGACAATTATTGAAAATGGCTAATTTGTGGACAAACAACTCATACAAAATGAATTAAGCATGTGACATGTCCTACATGAAATGTGCCCCAAGTCTAATATAATTCACTAGTTCTCAACTGGGTTAAGCCCCTCTCTCTGTCCTTAAAAATTGCATAAAAAAAGGCTTTTGGTCGACCTATGCGGTCAAGGATCCTCTTCGGATCTTTTTTGTAGAGATCCAAGAGATGTTTGTTCATCATATATCGTGCGATCAATTTTTGTTAGGTATTCTTTATATTTACTTTTAAATTTTAAATAATTTATAACCGAATGACTTACGATAAACAAATACAATTGATTGATCTATATATCCCCACAAAGAAGATCCTATTCCGACGTATGCTTGAACTTGAAGGCATGCACCTCCACATTCACCACAAACCCAATACACATGTCAGCATGTTAACTATTTCAAATAAAATATTAAAAGAGCCAATGGGTTGGTGCCACGGCACTCATGAGTCATGACACATTCCTAAATAAAGTGTACAGTAAACAAACAGCACAGAAGCAAATAACCCCATGCTTTCTGTGTCGGACAAGAATTGTATGTCCTTCCATTTTCGGTATTTTTCTATACTTTCTGTTTGTGTGGTTATGGTTAAACCACGTCAACATTTTATATTACTATTTATTTTTATCTTATTATCTTTATAAAAAAATAATATAAAATATTAACGTAACTTAATCTTGATCATACAAAATATAAGGGTACGAAAGGATACCGAAAATGGGACGGCATTCTATGTCATCACGGCAAATGGAAATATTTATCTGAAACATTCTGTCGCCATCACCATGTCGGTACTTTGCAACTCAACATTGACACGTAACATTAATGGATACGGATTACTGGATTACTTTAACTCAATCATCAAAGAAGAGGCTACAGCAAAGTCAAATTTGATTTTGTATTGGGGGTCATGCAAATGCAGGCCTACATAATAGGCGGAATGGAACTTTGAATTAGTGGCGGATTCAAGAAATATTTTTGAAGTGTCAATAAGAATAGCACGCATAATGACTAAAAAATTTTGTCACAGAATAGTATGTGGTTTGATATTTCATCGAGTCTTAGTAGATATGAGGTCATTTGCACTCTTGTCATTAGATGTTAATAACTCTTGAGTGAGCATGTCGACTGATGTGAGTAGTTTTTTAGCGAGCATGCCAACATATGTTAACTATTGACATATACACATAACAATGCGTACAAAGACATGAGGCTATTAACCAACCAACCAGTGTCCATAAAGACAATTTGTCGAGTAGCTGGAAGACAGTTTTCAAGGATATCTAAGATTTTCATAAGGCAACACTCAACTCTTCCATGGAGAGTGTTTGAGAGTCAGTTGACCCACCTTGATCCAAGGTGAATCGCCCTTGCTTATTTTTTTTATCGATAACAAAAATTTAGAAGTCGCGCCATCGTAGGAATTGCCCGTATTTAGAATAGACTAAAATTACAATATCAGTCAATTAATATCCCACCGCTTTATCATTAAGTAACCCAAAAACAACAAGAGATTAGATCTTGTAGAGTTCAATTTATGTTTTATGTGAACTTATTAAAGTCTGATACACGTGCACGAAACTTTCATTTTGTGATTTCATCGAGTTAATCCTTCTTATGTTCAGATTATGATTTCGATGTAAGATACTATTTACGTGGAACCAAAACCAAAAGGAGAAACAGTCGCAAGGTATTCTTTGAAATGCTGAGGTTGGTTTTAGACGACTTTAGTGAATTGAGTCCCAAAAGTTGTTGATCGGGAGCTTCAAATTCCTACCAGACCTAATGAGAATAAGTGGACCACACAAAAACAAAAAGGTAAGATGCTCCATCTTTTCTTTCTTACGAATGGAATAGGAACCTTCAACTATAAAAGGTTCATAATTAATCAAATATTACCTCATACTTTTTTTTATAATAATATTATATATATGTTTCATATAAAATATATATATATATATATATATATATATATAGATTGCAAAGGAATTTTATTTTTTTTTAAATAGGAATTAGGTGTGGGGCCCACTTCATATTGAATTTAACGATCCAAACTGTTTATTTTGTAAGTCTCGGTTCATAGATCATCCTTACAAAAATGAAATTCAATCCGAAACCATTTATCTATTTAATTATCAAGATAATTCGTTAATTTCTTTTAACCCAATTGGATGTCTTAAATATTTCCTATTTGGTTAATGTTTTGCAATGATGAACTATGAGGTGCAACTTGAAAAATAGACGGTTCGGATCGTTAAAGTTCGATGTGGTATGGAGACGCCACAATCAATCTCTATTTTTATAATAAAAAATAGATATCCCTTTCTTTAAAGGCTTTCTATATATATATATATATATATATATATATATTATGAAATTAAGAGAACAAAAGAAAAACCAAAAAAATGTGTGATCATTTGATCTTTTTACCAACATCCAAATCCAACCATGTGATGATGTTCTCATCCAAGTTGTTTGTTGATCATGTCGGTTTGATCGTTTGGCCCTACCTCTTGTTTTGTTTAAACAATGTAATTTACTTGCATAATTCCATTACGCATGCAACATACAACGGTGCCATTACGACAAATTCAAGTCGCACCAACTGGCTTCATAACTCAACTCGTGCAATGGACGAATCAAAACGTGGGATCCAGATCTTTTTCGGATTTTTATTCTTCGGAGTCTCGAGACCACATCATTGTGGTCGTTGATGCAATTCGTGAAGCCAAAAATTATGTCTCATTTCTGGTTGCGGGGTTTGTGATAAACGACTAGGATGGATTGATCCCGACGGGATCCAAAGAGGATCTGATCCCAAAAGTCGACGCAGCAGCTAAAAATATCGACCAACTGATGTATGGATTCAAAGTAACATTTTGGGCTTGTAATTAAAAATGGGCCTAAAAGTTGGAGCGTCTTCTGTCATTTGGGCTTTTAAGAACATGAAACCCAACACCAGACATTTTGGACTCTCGCGCGTGTAAAACTTTTATAAGCCCAAAGAATATGCTGCTGACATCACTCATCTGAAGTTCTTAAAATTACCATACAACCCTCCCTCCAGAAATGGACTGCACCACGATTACCAATCACTGAAACCAAAGCTTAAAAACCCTAACTTACCACACAGCTCACTCTCACTGTGACTGAGCTCCGTCAATGGCGTCCCAAATGGCGATCCTCGCGCTGACCCGAGCGCTGGCGAAAACCCTAAATACGAACCCGTGGTTCAAGTCCATCACGACCTTCACATTTCTCTCGCAGGAGCCCCAACTCGCCGTCGAGCCGACTCACCCCATCGCCTCCACCCCGCTCCCTCCGAACCCCGCCTCCGGCAGCCCCATGTACAACGAGAACTGGCGGAATCCGGCCCCCAACTCGCCCATGGGTCAGTCCCTGCTACCCCTCGGGTTACTCAACCAGTCCCCGAGCGCCCGATTCCAGGTCATGTCGCAAAACCTAGACGCGCAGAG